GACGATGCAAATCATGCCGACAAATATGTCTTGCTTATTTTTGTCTGCATACTTTTAGTTAGTTATGAATTAGTTAAAAAATAGAGATATCTGCAATAATAGTGTGATGTAACGTAAAATAATAATAAAGTAAAACCTACCCTTAAAAATGTAGGTATTCTCTTGTTAACCATTCATGATGGAAATAATACATAGTGGTCCGAATTTACTACCGTATCTTCTATAAAATAAAACTCATCATAATCGATACTAAAAAGTTATACCACGAAGTGGATACTATTGATTTCTGATTACATAATTTACACTTCGAGATTCATTTTGTGTGGAAAACAACTATAAAATACTTAAACATCTTTTGTATCTATTGCAAAAAATATATACCTAAATACCAATAGCATAATTTGAACATTACATAGACACAGAAATAAGTAACAAAATTAGATAGACATTATTCCATATCAACGTGTGTGTAAACTCATGCCAATTTCATACAATATTACTAGATCTATTTTACTTTCTCTGATGAGTATCCGATACGTCTCCAGCTAGTTCTCATCTGTCTATGGTAGACAGGTGACTACTGATTTATCAGTATTAAACTCCATTAAGTGTTTAACTCGATACCATTTGCCTCACCGGTTTTATATTATACAATTCAATCATGTGTGCATAAGATTTCGTGAGTTACGAAACCAATTAGTTAATTTTATAAAATTAATTCAGTTGTCTAGTATGTATACTATATGGCGTACATATATGTATAGGCACATTATTTTTGAGTGAACTACGTAACAAATATATTATGATTAAATGGGATCGGCTTTTTCTTCCAAAATATCATATTGTCCTATGACAATTTAGATGAATAGATAGGTTATACTAATCATTGACTATTTCCAAATAAGTGATAATTCTTCTACAGAACTAAAATAACAATATTTTTATATTTATTCATCAAGTTTGTACAGTGTTGCAGACAATTAACAAATAAAAGTAATGTAAGTAGGTACACACGAATATGTACGTGGCTTATGGCAAGCATAGATACATATTGATATAATATGATCACAAGGACGAATTGTGGTTGTTGCGGCTTGTTCAGCGAAAATGAGTGTGTACCAGAGGAATTGCATTACTAACAATAAGTATCTGTTCATTGGTAAAATTATTAGGTATAGGTATCTATTAAGTATGAGTCTCGAAAGTTTAAAGACTAAAAATAGTAACTTCTAACCTATTTATATGTAGTTTAAATTATGTCAATTTTATTTCTTTATTTTAAACCTAGTACCTAGGAAAATTCTAAATGTTTTTAAATGTCTAGTGAACTTGTAGACTTAAAATAGGTACTAGACACATCACCAATCTGTCACAAATTAATAGAATATAAATTTTAAATGAAACTGTAAAAATGGTTGTAACAGGAAGATCCCGTGCCTTATACAAGGACGTCGATGCGTTCTTATGGTATGATAATTAAAAAACTATCAAGGAATATTATGATCGGCTCACAACACCCGTGTTTGTATGTATCGGCATGCGTACAAATAATTACTACTAGTATTACTAATTATTGTAATTATTTTAAAACATACAATAATTTCCAATATTATTATTACTATGAACCGAAATTTAATGTTTTCGTCTATCGCGAGTATCACTTCATCCGGAAGTATTCACACACAAAAACATATTGTATCAAGTTCATTCAATTTCCTTACTGTTTAAATATAGAATTGGTGTAAATTAAAAAACGTTTAATCTCACGGTGTTCATTATGTACCTATTTAATAATGTACCTACATTACAAAGTTGACACCGAGCATTGATCACTAAGCATCATTAAAAAGACAGGTTTGATGTTCACTCATGCATAAATCTGAATGACCGATTCTGTCCGAGACAAACACGAGCAATTAGAAGGAACTGGTAATCGTTTAATCGAATACGAAAGATGAAAGTGTCCGATAGTTTATCGCTGCATCGATCGATACAGATGCGGTGCATGGTCTCCAGACATATCTATAATATATCATATGTAACTGTCAATGTGATTGCACTGTATGGTACAATTACAACATAATCGATAAATTGTTGTGTTAAAGACGGAAATCGAAATTCATTATTACAAAAACTATTTAATCTTGATCAAGAATTAATGTAAAGAAAATAAAAGGAATATATTCATCGTCAAAATTCAAACTTCTAACAAAAATATACCAATAAACCATACTCATAAGAGACAAAAATTAACACAAAAAAATATTTTCTTATACCCTACCTACTATTACTTAAACCTTTTATTCTTACAACCATTTCAAAATTTTGCTTTTTCTTGTTTGATGTTTGTTGGTTTAGAATACAACATTATTGAAAGAGATCAAAAAGTGAAAAATACAGTCACAATACAACTTACCTAACTATACTTCATAATAAAAATGGTGTAGGTACTAGATAGCATACCACTATGTCCTGTCTGATTATATCTACGCTTTCACTAGCAAAATTTTGATGATTCATTAAATTCTTTAATTGACGCTAAATATCCCATTGACTAGAGAGGTCACTCGTTCTTGACCTTTTTTTCATTGAATTTGTGACATAGCTATTGTACAGACTTTCTTTATAGTGAAATCTGTAGAAAATATTATTGACTATTTTATAGATATGTTAAAGATTTTTACATTTGCATGCTCATTCAATTTATCTACTCATTATGTTATATTCAATTCTACATTAAAAACTACAGAATAAAACGCATAAATTTAAATAACAATGTCGAGAAGTTTTATCACTATTACTTTATGTTATATAAATATGGAACATAATAATACCAAAAAAAATATTTTGCAGTGTTTCCAAGATATTTGTAAATCTAAAACGAATTTATTTGTGAGACGCAGCCAGTGTTAATCTGCTGTTCAATTGACAGTAACTACATAGTAAAAAATAATAACTAACCTAAATTTGCTAAAAATATCGTAACTGAACATTCAATAGGCCCATTAAACTTGCTCATAGCTACAGGGGCAGATGCCCTACACCGTAGATAGCGTTCCATGGCGTACGCTGCAAGTTATCTATCTAGATGTCTGATAGCGATCGGTCTCCTTGGAGCGGCGCACCGAGCGGAACGTTGGCGCCACTAATGCGATCAAGGGATCCGATTTATTGGTTGTATCTCTACATCAGCCAGTACACCTGTACTGTCCTGTACCCAGCTTAATATAAGCTCAGAACAGCTAAGAGAACATTTATTGCTTATTGCGTAACCATCTCGCTTACCAATTACTTATTGCTCTCATATACCATTCGTTTCTAAACTATCTATCGCATAAATTGAAACGAATTTATTTATCGGCGTGGTCTTGAACTTGCTGCGACTTACGATATCAGTGGCTTAACATCTAAACGATTGTATCCGTCTCACCCATTGATCGCGCTGTCATATCACTCTCGTCAGACTTGAGCGGATTTGTTTGCGAATTGTTCTAGGACCTTGAATTTGCACTTGTTGGTTAGCTTTCTCGTTAAGTGAACTTTTAACTTCGTATTCGTTTCCTATCTAGTTATCTATTGGACGTTATCAAATGATCACACGTCGGTAGACGCAGGCCGTGCTAGGCCGGAACTCTCTCTATTCCCTACCCTGTCCGATCAATATTAGTCAGACTCTGACAGCAGCTGAGTCCGCTCGCACCAGCCCGCCGTCCATCGCACGTCGTGACACTCGGACAGTGAAAACAGAAACTCATTAGAGCTTTTAGCGACATGTATACGAAGTATAACATGCCGATGTGACGTTATCTTGTATCTATGATCTAAGAGTCTGCAAGTAAAATCTATCCCGCTCTATGGTTATATCAAGGCAATTGCAGTCAATATTTGTTTTGACACTATTTTACTCTATTGCAACATTTCGCAATTGTATGGCTGTTATATATTTAAGTTGTTCGGTCGGTCGGTCGGTATATTTATAACATAAATATAGAATTTATTTTATTCAAATATGCTATTTTTCAAATCAATCAATCTATTTAAATACGTGTCTTCTCTTCTTCCGCCTAATATCCGCAGAATATTATGTAATGCAGAGAACACTCATATACAGGATTAACATGCACATTCTTCTAAAAATATTTTATCTATTTTATTGTATTCACCGAGGTAGTCTTTGCAAGAACTCGTCACAGCTTGCTTTATAAACTTTGTATCAATAAAGGGTGAAATGAGGTCCAGGTCTGTAACTAAACTAACAATGGCTATTGTTCATCCCAAGATCTGTTAACTTTTTGTCATTAACCTAAGTAGTTAATGAAGACATAAAAATATTTCTTGTTTGTGTAATATGGAATAGTAAACAAGCTAACAGCCCTTCTAATGGTAAGTGAACCGTCCCCTATATACATGAACAGCGTAACGGATATTACGTCATCATAAGACACCCGTGTTCAGTATCAGCTCAGTACTCATGCGTTGCCATCCCAGAGGACTAAGATGTCTTCGTAATTTTACTACAATATTTTATTTTTAATTCCTTAAACCGAAATACATTCTACAAAACATACCATCGGTTTGACAGCAGCAATAGTAGAGACTAAGCTACTTAGGCAGATGAAGTCAAAGTCTAAATGGCATGGATATAATAAAATCATTTATTTTTCATATCACAACGTCATACTACTGCTACTATCATTTTAATATGACTGTACCTAGTTAATGAAGTTATAGCAAATAATATTATACATATAGAAAAATAATAATATTATTTTATCTTATTTTAAAGTAGGGATGCCACAACTATGTTTGAAATAGTCATATGAAATAAACAAAGATGGGTCGATCTCTTCACCCATGTATAGTGTGAAATACTTTCAAATGGATTGCAGCGCTTTATGGTTATACCGTAAAGTCGATCTATGGTATGAACTTTCAAAACAGCGCATACTTTCAAATGGAATATCGGAAAATACACTAGATAGTAGGTACTCGTAATATATGGGACAAGGTGAAATGAATAGAACTGTTGTCATCTAATACTTACATACTTTTATTATTTTTTATATTAAGTAATATCATACAACGTAATACTTATTTCCGAATATCATAAATTTTATTTTATATTTACAATTTATTGTCTTAGCTCTAGTGCGAGGTGTATGTTAATACAATAACATAAATATTTACATTAAACATTGCGTTTATTTACACATATACGTTGTATTAACTTATGGCTGCGAATAACATCGCCAATTCTATACTCATACAGTATATTTTATATATGTACATTAAGCTTAGTATCAAATATTAGGCACCAATTACGTACCTAAACTACTCATTTTAATAATATTTCTAATAACAAGTACAGTCTGTGGGCTTATAAATATAAATAAATAGTCTTAATTTAAATGCTCAATGACGGCCTTTTCTTTCTTACACTCTTGCTGTTCTTGCCGAATATCGTTCCAATAACCTGTTGAAAAATGAAAATATATTCTATATAACTGGCGAGCTAGCAAAGACTTCGTCTGCACAAACTTGCATCTTCTATTTCACTCCCATTATTTTTCCGAGATAAATGATATCCTATAACTATTTCGAGACACAATTTATTTCCATGTAATTTTTTTTACCAGCATCAGCATCTGTTCAGTCGTTAATCGTCAAAAAGTAACAAACCTCAGTTTAATACTTTTTGACGATTTGAGTCTCTCTAGGCAGAAAGACTTTTGCGTTTATAATTTTTGTGTGGATATTTAAAACAAATATAGTCAGTACAAACATCGAACTCATAACTGCTTTTACGTAATGTTATAATACTATAAAACTTTAATTGGCTTGACTCATAAAAACTAACATTCTAACATATAACTATAGAATATGTTAGGAATGTACATTTGAATATCAGACAAGTCGTTGTAAAGTTAAAAAATTCTATAAATTTCCAATTAGAGCATACCTTGGAGACGGAGTAGGCGGCAAGTTTCCGCCGAGGCGCTGGTAGTAGGAGCGCGAGAGCACGCGCCTCTCGCAGAAGCGCGTGGAACGCTAGCGCTGCGCCAGCGCATGATTCCGCTGCAGACACCTCATAGAACTGGCACCCGAACCGAAGAGATAGTTCCTGACCCTCCTCTGCATGGACCTCCCTTAATTGATATATATTATTAAGTTAATATTATTATTAACCTTAATTTCATTCATTATTATCGAAACAAAAGAACGTCATGTGTCAATTATGTCACTAACTCTCCAATGATAAAACTGAAATTAATACAAGTGACGTGTATATATATAAATAAATGTCAAGTATTGGGTTCACCTTAACATCCATAATTTGACAACTCTTGTGAATACTTCATCTGCAATAACAGTCGTGAAGGTACTTTTATTTTGTGAAGGTGCTTTACTTAATCTAATACTGATATATCAGCTAGGAATGTCAACAATACACCATCCGAATTATTGGAAATTAAATAGTAACTGTAACCACTGGAGCACATTACACAGTAGTTCATTTTTTATTCCACAATGATGGAAAACAAGCGTGTGCCCAATCTGATGGTGAGATGTATACTTTATTAGATGCTCACCTGGCGTGTTCGAGGTCACGTTTATTCCCCAAGAGGGTAATGGCTGCGCAGCCCGGTAGCCTCGTTCTTTCGAGCAGTGAGAGCAATTCTGCCGCCGCGAGGAATGAACGCCTTTCGCATACCGAATATACAACCGCAAACGCATCTCCCCATCGCACGTGCTCAGCAAGACAACCGCGAATCTATGGGAAAAAATAATATAAGCATTTTTATTCGCATTCGCTGCAATCATTATTATTTAAGTATAATTTGACCAAAGAATCGAGTAATTTTTGACAAAACTACAAAGATAAAAACGTGAGATAAAAGGATGATTAAGCAGTAGTCTATTTTAATTTTACAAAACTATTACATAGGTAGAAGAAATAAGCGAAATACTGTCAAATACAAATTTTCTTTCTTTTTAAATCTGGTACAAAAAAAAACATTTAATACCCTATTACAACATAACTAAATAAAATATATCGGACAGAACAAACACAGAATATTCTTTATTTTCTAAGTCATATTAACATAACTTATTCTTATGTAACTTAAAACGTATAGGTAATATAAATTCTTCATTATGATTTATTTATGTAATGTCGACGTTATCATAGACACTAACAAATTGCCGGATATCCTCAGGCATTAGGTATTCGTAAGGATGGATTATTCTCATTACGAAGATAAAATATCTTTAAATTGATTCTTTTACTACAAGAAATTTAATAAAAACTATTAATGTTTATATATATATATATATATACATATATATATTACTACATACTTTACTTAATCGATCCCGGAGCTTAAGATTATTTGTTAATAGAGTGTAGCTTGTCTAACTTTTATACCAGATAATTGTGTATTCATGACTATCACCTAATTGCATTTATAAGTCATAACAGACTGAACCCATAAAAACATCGAAGTTCACTAACTTTATTAGCACAATAAACTTTCAAGACAAGTAACGCTCCAACATCCCACAACGGGGCCACTCGCTGCATCGAACGAAATTTATAACGATTGCGCAATCAAAACATCGAGTTCAGTTTATTCTTTTAGTGCCGTTATGCATTCGATTATTAAAATGTTGTTCAGTCGAAAAACATTGTAGAATGTTTACCGGCATAGGTTTAAAGTTAGTGTTGCCTTAAGGCCGATCGTATCTGATAAACCACTGCGGAGGCCATAAACTTTGTCTAATTAAATTGTACAGAGCATCAGCCGCCTACTAGCTGCGAGGCAACCACAGATTACATCTCCATTGTTTATAAATTAAGTTTGGCTTTGTCTATATCTTCATTTGCCTTTACAATGTATTTATATATACTTTAAATGAACAGAGTCCACTTCCGATTGTTAGTAGGTAGTGATAGGTGTAGGCGTAGATATAGTATTTGACTACCCAGTCAGTGTGGTATCGCTTCATCATCATCGTTTGTCATTATTTATTTTGACAGTTAATATTAACAGTGATATTAACGATACCTACTACAGTTAGTAGAGGATACGTAAATAGGTTTTTTTAACTAAACCACAAAATATTTAAAGTATTTTAAAGCATTTTAAAATCTTTATCTAACATATATCATCTATCCAGACGCAATTGCATCTATTTTTCGTACTTTTAGGTCCAGTTCAGACTACTTCAGACGAATTTGTTGGTGAAATATTTGCAAACTTTGAAATACTTAATCATTTTTAAATCTCTACTCCTAAGACATTATAAATACACATAAAAAATTACATATTTATTAGGGTCAAATTATATTTAAGGAAAAGTTGACTATAGAGAAATATCAGAAAGAAATTGTATTTTTTTATGCCATAATTCAATGTTTTAACAAAAGAGTGCTGTAAACATATGTATGTTTATAAATTGATATCTTACCGCGCAATTAGAAGTGTCCAGTACTTCTACTTCGGATACGACGCCGTCGAAAGCCACTCGGTGTTGATAAAGGAAATCTGAAACAATACGTTTACTATAGAAGTAGCAAGACACAATCTCGATCTACAATTTAGCATCAAACTATTCATTCTTCTGAATAAGACCGGCAGATTAGAAAGCTTTCTATGAAGACAACCATGTTTATGGAAATTGCGTGATATAATTTAAATTATCATGAGTATGAAAGTATTTTTTAGTAATATATTCCTGCAATAATGCAGCAGCTACTTATACAATGACAATGTACAAACTTTACTGCATCGTGTGGACATACGTTAGTAAATACTATTTTTTTATAATATAGAATAAGAATAAGAAACGATAATCAGCACAAAGTGATAAGCATATTACTTTAATATTTTTACTCATAATGTTATTAGTACTTTAAATACATTCCCAGTTATGTAATTTTTATAAGTGCAACATTTTTAATAAAAAAATAAACATAATACTGTCCTCACTGGAGTATAGTTATCTGATTCATACAATTACTGGCTAAAATTTACCATAGTAATTTTTTGCTCTAACATAATAAAAGCATTAACTGCATATATATAATATAATTCCATTACCAATGAATAAAAAAATATGGAAAAATATAATGATGATAAGATAAATCAACGGCAAGTAATAAAGGTTAGAACGCGATCAAAATTCACATAAAAACTATCAAAATACTTAAATATGTCTTATTAATACGTATGAATGTCTATTGCAATATTTAATTTTTGTTGCAGGTATAACAGATTGCAGAAATTTCTGTCAAACAACTCATCACTTAAAGCCTACGCAGACGTGGAAGGTTTTATCTGCGGAGGACAAAAATTCTCTCTCTCTCTCCTCGGAAGGCAAAAACTCTCCATTTATTCCGTACTCCACACACTGATCCCTTGTGTAAGCACTGATAAATCTGCGGTATAACACGTAATTCTATTACGACAAACAAAAATGTACACCGAGGATTTTCATCGTCTGCGCAAACCTTTAAGGGAACACGATTTTGCCCTGCGGCGGCCAGCTACACAGATCATCTGATCATTAAGCATCGTGTACAACGTGATGTTTTAATTATAAACCGATAAGAATAACTTATTATCTCACATTGGTCGAGTTAACTGAAGCAGATGATGATTCAATTAAGTAAAACTCACCGCCTGTCGAACTGTACTCGCCGATGTATCGTTTTGTTAGGTAACGCACCACCACAGCTGCAACAAACAAAAATAAATTACTTTTTTGCCGCAGACATACAACTGTCTTGATCTGATATGAAACTGGTGCAGCTGCTACTTATTCCATAAAATGCCGATTGCTGATTATCCTGGTAATTGATACCTTAGTTACATGCTGGTTGTTGCCCTGAAGAAATCTTTTTTAGGAGCTCCGTGCTACAGTTTCTTTAAAATAGCTTTGGACATGAATCATGTTATGTATGAGAACTAAAAACTTTTGAACTATACTATATAGAATCCTATAATTATGAAATACACATAAGTTATGTAATAAAATAATGTTGTTTGTATTATTATATTGTATTTTATGATCACTATTTGTAGAAATAAAGTAAGAGTACATAATTTTGCATATCTATACAAAATGCTGTTATGCGTATATATATAACATCTACCTTTTGTGAAGATTTTATTCACAACTTCACAAAATGTAGATATTAAATCAGCTAAAACTATGTAGGTATAGGTAAAGTCGCATGTTAATGAAAAATCGTCTAGCATGCTGTGAAGGTCGCAATGGGTACAAGGCCACTCTTAATAAAGTTGTATATCAAAAGGTCGATAACCCTAACTTTCTACCGAAGAACGATTTCTTTGATTAGTCTTTTCATAGGCGTACCTTCTGGAATTCCCATCATAAACCATCTATACCATACAAATAGTTATCAACAACAATGACGTAGCAAGTTGCGTGAATAACTATCGGGAGGCTACCGAACTGTGGAGAATCCTTGCCACATCAAAAGGAACAATTCTATTCAAAAGGCTGATTGCTTGCCGCTTGGAAGTACCTGAGGTATATACTTGGACCTACGAATGATGATTACATACGATACATTGAAATGGAAAACAACAACAAAACACAAAATAATCTCTATTGAATCTCGGAGCAACTGTTTGATACACGGGTTTTTTTTTCAATACGGTAATTACACGAATCATCAGTCTATTCTCAGTAATATTTTTAGACAGGAAATGAATATATATCTCTGTTTTGATGACTAATATTTTTAAAAACATTTCCGAAACAAACGTACTAGACATGTTTCTTTGTAAAACTTTTGAAACGATTACTACAAAAACAAAAAATAAATATCCACACCAACGATCCACCGAAATAGTGAAGCTAAAAATACACTTTTCTAGCATATTCGCTCAGCAGATACATAACTAATGAGAACACCACAGTATCTGAAGATAGCGTCTTTAATATTCTAATTCTCCATCGTTTCATCATCAAAGGGACCCGAAGGAGCTATCGACTGACCATTTCTGTCGAAACGCAGTCCAAAACTGTTGCACAATGATTATATTCTAAGTATTAAGCTTTATGCAACTGCAGCACGCAGTGTCGCATGACAATGGACTTGGAATGTATTCCATCTGCATACTAGTTCAGACCCTGATAGGAAATCGATTGCATGATGCGTATATAAAGTTATTAATATGATTGTTACGTAAGAAACGGGATAGTGTTGCGCAGTGGATTATGAAGAAAGAAATCTGAAGAGTTCGTGGTGACCGATGTAATGATAACCTAGTTTTAGTTTACAATAACAACATAGCATACACGGTGTAGGTATCTACTAAAATTGTGTATAAAGGATACAGTATAAAAATGAGATACCAACATAGACACCACACGCATAATTCAAAACGAATATTAATAATAATCATTTTAACACATGTATTTATATGTTCAACTCATGTAATTTTTACCATAAAAAACTAAATCTGAGATAGAGACTGACATGGAGATAAAACGTTGCTAGATAGTGTTGAACAGGTCAATAAAATATCTACGGAACAATTATCATACAAGTATAAAATGAATGTTGATAACCATTATAAAAGTCAAGCTTTAAAACGAGTCATTATGAAGCCCTCGGATACAGCATTACCACATACTGTACTGTGTGGTTTATGAAACACATGCCAAATTCCACACTCTCGTTTTTTCCTTTCGATTTTTTCCCGTGCGCAATTGATATTATATACTTTCTCTGAGCTCCGATTACTAAACGTTGACGATAAAATTTCACATAATAACGTATTATAAAATTTAAGTAATAGTATATTTAATATGTAATGTGGCTCGAACTCATACCAGTTATATGCAATGTTCTGAGATCGGCCCATAGAAATTGTTGCGTTTTTTATACATAAATTGCATTTATTACCTAATTAATATTTTACAAGTGACGATAACTTCAACGTGTCTTGACTCTATATAAAATATCTATGCGCATTAAAGAGACTTCCTTAAAACATTATATATAATGATCGAAGTTTAAAAACATGATAATATAAAATTTCCTATTTAACAAACCATATAAGACAAATTACGTTGATCAAATAACATGGCACCACGTGGGTTGATGGATGGTATGTTATCAGACGAAACAATGGATGCTGTATCGACAGGAATCTATGGTGTAATTAATAGATTACCGATCTCATCCATCAAGATGACCAATGTAGCTTTATTAACTCGGTTTATTATTAAATAAAGCTATCATTAACAATAGGGTTTTGTTGAAATATATTGATATGTATACAAATATTCATAGAAAAAATAATGGTTTTTTAATAAAATATATCTATTTAATCGTAGCAACGGTAAAAGACTAATTTATATGAATCATCCAATCGACAGTGAAGGTAACAACAAGTGAAATAACAATACTGGCGACGAATGGCAAGTATCAAGCTATATCAGAATCAGAGCCATCGATCATGATGGGGTCGTCGCACAAAGCCGAGAGGCGGCGGCGCGGCAGCGTGTATTCAATTGAGTCCTCACTCCTCGCCGCGTCACGATCGCCGGTTTTTTGTTAACATTGCATCGCAGCAATTTCAGGACAAGAATACACTTAAAATTTTGGTTTAACGACCAACATTTCAGGTTTCTTTATCAGCCACAATATCACAATGACGTCACTGCTTTTTCTGTTGAAATTGCGAAAGTTCATTGGCCATGCGACATGAAGGTAATCCATTTCTGACGAAAATGGATGCACAGTTTTGGTGCGTTAATTGAAATGCTTTATTTATTCGAAACCATTAATATTAACTGCTTCGTTTTAAAACGAAAGACTAATAAGCATAGGGTGTTGAGATACATGCCATATTTTTAAGAACACATTAAATATGACCTGGAATCTGTTAACGATAAGTTCAGTAGGGGAATGCTGTAATTGTTTCAAAGAATATCAGTAACGAAACTCCTTATAACCGGTATTCATAACGCGAGCGTGTGAATAATTACCTTCCAAAAATAGCACTGCTTGAGCAACGGGGATGGCTAGAGAAGTCGGCACTCTGGTATTAAATGATGTTAGTCGGCCTTAGATCCGTGAGCCACTCCCAACGGATAACATAGACAGGATCTACTTTAAAAACAATTTCGCATGTCGGAGCCGCGAGCTGCTGTAATGAATTGCAAACGCATGCGTCGGTGCTGCGGCCGGTCCGTCAACCGTCAGCCGACCGACAATTAGGGCGGTGCAATTACAACCAGTCGACGGCGACTCGGCCGGTGGGTCAACGGCGCGATTTCCCGACGAACAGCTACGACGCCTGGCGCCAGCAGACGACGTTGTGTAACGCTTAAACGTCCGATCAGGCATTAACGCCATAGTCGTCGAGGTTGTTGCTCTGCAGACGTATGTACATTATGTTGCCGATCCGTAATACATGCCATTAACGTGCCTGAAATGTTTGAGTCGCAATTCCGGATTTACTAAATGTGAAGGCAATTGTAGTGTCATAAGCATAAGAACTCGACGTTGGTTATCTTTAAACTAAGCTAGACATTTCATCTTTGTTTATTAATTGAAATAATTGTAGAGCTAGTTATAATTCAAATTTATATGTGTGAAAAAGAGTCTAAACGGGAATGTTATATAATAATAGAACATTTCTCACTAACGATCGTATACAGGCTAAGATTTTTTATTTTGTTTCCATTCGGACACGATAAGATTTAAAATTATGTATAGGTATACAATACTATAGAATTGTGTAGGTTGACGATAAAAGTTCGATCATATTCGTTTTAACTTATCTACTACTGACAATAAATTACCATATTAACAGTCCATTTGATAGAAAACTGGTAATGGTAACGGACGCTTATAGACGTGAACAACAGCATATATCACAAACATTGTGATCTCTTTGCCATCCTACCGCATTATTATGAATTGTCACTTCCGAGGATTAAGGTATTATAACTCTTGTTAGATTTTGTATAGAATTTTGTTATAATCTTATAAATAAAAATATAACAACATATAATTCTTTTTTATGTACATCAAAATGGCAAAGAAGCTAATCCTCTACTTGATGATAAGTGGTAACCATCACCTATATATCAAACAGCACCACCACTGCTACTACTACTTATGCTGTAATTACAAAACTTAATCCCACCCTACAACTGAAACAGCACTGAAAAGCACAAAGCAAGTTGAGATAATCCGACCTCGGTACAAAATTGATTAAACATTGTTATTTAATAATAAAAATAAATGTACGCGTAAGACGGTGGCTCACAACCTCACCACACGGAGTTTTAATTCGAACTATCCTAATGATGTTTGCCGCAGATGGCCAATCACCAATGCTTCACCAATCGATAAGGGCGAGTGAAGATGGACTCCAAATCCGCGGATGGACTTATAGAGCAGCTGAAGGCAAACTCCTGCCTGACGGAATCGACTTTAGTCTGAGGGCATCTCGACTACCTCAGCTCAGGCCAACTTAATTTCAATCTCAGTTTAAACTGGACGAGGAATCGACCGAAAAATTTACGGGGGAGGGCTATTGTAATGAGGACTAATATCCCCATTGTAATCAATATACCATGTAAGGTCAACGTTCACGTGGTAGCTATTAAAAATCATCGTTTTTAATTTCTGGTAATTTCACCACGATGGATTATCTCACCAGACTTCATGATCAACCTGTTATCCTCTAATGGTACCCCGCCAGTTTATCTCGACGGGTGCACCATTCAACGTTATACATTAAAAAACTCACTTTATTAATTATTTATAGAAAATAAGCTCTATCAATACTAAGCTTCGTCATCACGGATTGAGATAACAATTTGATCTTCTAGAGGACATCATGCCGTCTGGACAACAATTTTTTTGTCGTCACTTGCTCCTAATTTGAATAAAAATATGCCCACAATACTATAAAATTCATAATTTCTATATACTATCAATAGTACCACAGAGGGGAAAAGGGGATTGTTAGTAATGTAGACTAATGGTCGAAATAAATTAAATATGCCTAGTTTTCATCTCAAAAAAGTAAGTACATCTTTCATGGGACATTGTATATATTTTTATAATAAATTGCCAGATAGCGTTTTAAATTTAACTGAAGGCAAATTTAAGATACATGTAAAAAATACACTTTGCTCTAAAGCTTATTATAAAATAAACGACTAATTAAATGACTACAATGTGTGGACTTAATTAGAATTTTAATGAAGTCCACACATTGTCCACAATTAAATTTTGTAATAACATATTGTAAATTAAATATTGTAATGAGTGAAAACTGTGATCGGTACAGCCTATGCTGTAAATAATATAATTGACGTAGTGGAGTAACCTGAAACAGTCATGCTCGCTATAAAGTTCAAACTTGTTGCGGCGTGGTGAGGCGAGCCGATGTGCTCCCTCAAATATGGTTGAGTGCAATGATGGCTGACTCATCCATCATACTCGTGAACGGGTGCTGCTTGTGGGGACTGGTCTGTTCAGGTTGCGAACACTGAATAACTTGTTCTTTGCAATAGCATATGCTGGTGGTCACTCTGTTCTCCCAAAATTTGAATTTTAATAACTGTGTATTATTATAAACATATTCCACTATTATTTGAAAAAAATACGAGCTGAGTTTCTAGTCAGTTATTCTCATCTCGATATCATTTGAACTTTCGGTAGATTTGACATATCACAAGAGTCTGTAATAGACCTACATGAATAAAATTATTTTGAATTTTAAATTTTTTAATAAACCCATTGCTAGCAATGTACCACGTCAGGTTAACCTCTACGCGGTTCCCCCTGGATTTTTTTTTCCCCTGGATACCATTATAACCATTATGGTAAATTACCATTTGCAACATTCCATTATCATCCATAAAAAAATACTACCACAGACTGCATAGTAATGCATAAATATACCTACGTGAACAGCGTCTGCTCAATTAAAATATGTTTGGAGATATAGATATATATGGAAATTTAAAAGATTTTTTGTACCACGTACTCTGACTGTATTCAAATATAATACTACAATAAATAATCTAAAAATAATTATCAGGAAGCAAATAGATCTTCTATAATAATATTTAGACATAATCAAATACGCCAAGTATGTAGACAACACAAAAAATTGTGTGCAAATTGTATTCTAATATCAGGAATGATATCACAGAACAATGCAGTTATTTATCACTCGAAATGAACGCATGGAATGCGATGATAACAGATTACAGTAAATATCTCTTGAATACACTAGATGATAATATAAACAATAACTATGCCATTAACATTAATAAATAGCCATAAACCTGCAAAGTATTATCATATGTAAAATGGTACAATTATAAATTATCTATATAGAATTGGAAAATTTTCATATATCATTTCGAATATTATATAACTATTACCTACTTAATTCCCATTTATTCTTTGATATCGAATAAAAGTATTAAATTTTAAGAGTATAAATAAAAATTATTTAATAAGTTTCGTAGTATTAAATAAATTTATTAATGTGCATAGTCTCCTTGTTTCCATATTTTTTATATATTTAGGGGAAATAGATATACAATGTCTTAAAAATTTAAAACAAAGTTTAAAAATTATAAAACATATCAATCGTCATTGATAAATTTATTATTATAATGAAGAAAAATGTAGTAAATGAATTACATAATTACAAGGCATATTTTAATATGTATTTGTAGTTCCTAATTATAATTATATTTCTTAGACATACAATTTATTCCAGTAATATTGTAATATTAATAGTTAAATTAGTAAAATCTGTAAATTAACTTCTGGAATCTAGCCTAACTATGTAACATTATCTTATCTGTGTTATTAGATACACTACTCATAGCTAATTACTTACCTATTCTGTTTGAGCAATGAATATTATATGATGCATATAATCTGGTACAGAAAATTGCCTTTGCAATTGAATTTTACATCTAGAATATAGTAAGTTATACTTATTTTGATGGTAGGTAATTAATAATCTAAAAACTTAAACATATCTATGCATTAGCCAGGTCAATAACCATCGAAGATAGGAATATTATTCTGCAATAGTACAATAAATTTTATTCGTTTATTTTTACGAATAAATATTCATGTGCTGTCAATACCTATTAATATTTTTTTAAAAGTAGTATTCTACATATCTGTTATTGTTATTAAGACAACATAACAATTGTGTCACTACCTTATCATTTATGGTCTATGCATAATTTATTATTGTAGTGCATAACCGTTGAAAGTTGCATATATCTATTTAACATTAATATGTTTAAACTATTATTTTCTTAAAACAATAGATCTTAAACTCTGCTGCAACTGGTCAGAAACTTTAATACCGCTTTTTAACTACCGCTTTTAACAAGTAGAAAGGACTTTTTATTTATATTATAACAAATAAATAACCTGAATTGTCCAAACTGTGCGCACAGAACTATAAAATATTTATTTAAGTGAATTTTCGTTATTAATCACATAAATCTTTTAAAAATGTTTACTTATAGGTATAATATAAAAACCCGCCGCTGTATATATAATATGCGCTGACTGCATAAAGATTTTGATATTTTATTTTTATATATAACCCTAATAAATTCATACATGAGTATTCATTTTATGTGTATTTTTATTTTATACGTTTTAATTGTCATGTACTCGTAGATAAAATATTACAATCATATTAATTACAAAATGTTTTTATTCAATAAATATGCACAAGCGGTAATTATTTGCAGTATTATTATTAAATAAATCATAATTATAGATTACAACAACTCTACAGATTTATAAATATACTAACCAGATTTGCCACTGCGCGGACTCCCAAGCACCACCACCCTTATACGGTTCACTGTCATCTTCATTTGGAAAGACTTGTTTTTCCCGATTATTCCCTCGAAATATCATTCAATCGAACATAATTTCGAACCGATACCTTTATCACATAAATTTAGTCATCACTGTGTCCACAGTTCACAGATAATAAAAAATATCTATGTTGATTATCGTAAATAATTTCGAGAAAGCAAATTATCGTGGGATGCTGTATCGGAGCGCCGGTCGCTCGACCATCTGCCGCTACGTTTCCCGCGCGACTGCCGGCATCTCACTGCTGTTGTGTGAAGAGACGCGTGCGCAGCCTCCGATCTGAATACATATAACCTCTACTTATCATTCTATACATATATACAATATTATAGTACACTGACCCAATCGTATTATCTTTAGAATATAAGGGCCAACTTAACGTATGTGATCAGTACACATGGGGGAAGAGATTGTTAGTACCTAAAGTACTAGCCCTCTTATGGCTAGTATTGTACTATGTCAGTTTAACCTCAACGCAGCCCATCCCCGAAATCACCGGGGCTAATTCCTGGTGATTTCTAGACTACGGCTAAGCTTTATGCAAACCCTATCATCTTCCACTGTCCAGCCAGCGTATGCAATCAACGCTAACATTCAATGTTATCATTCATTAAAGAAATATACATATCCATGCATATTTTGTTATGAATGCATAAATAATGAAGCTGAAAAACCTAAAAAAGTATTTAAATAAATATTGATCCTAATTACTGACAGGCCATCGACCACATCGGGCGTGACCTTTCGACTTCAGCCAAATGCATAATTCGTGTAGTGTCAATATACAAAACGACCATGACGCGTGTTGTCGCAGTGCAGGCTTTTTTAATTTATCACTCAATATGCCGCGTATGACAAACTGTCGTTGAGTGTAACTTGAACTTCACACAATTACCTGTCAGATAGAATATTCAAGTCAGATGTTCATCTAGTAATGAAGTTACAACAAACAAGTTTTGTAAAGAATACAATTTGCAACATTACACCAAAATACATTCACATCTCAACTCGCACCGAAGTTGCTTTTATAAGAATTTCACGCTCATTAAAAATCCTTTAATTATGGTCTGCGATAATTAAACATCTAAAGTTCTCCTTCGATCAATTACGCAAATCTCACGGAAGGTCCGGGATTCTGGTCCAGATTGGGCAACTCCCTGCGTCGTGTCAAGGTGAGAGCGATATCACTCACCGTAATAAAGTTTGTACTGAGACGTAACTGTATCCGCTACGCCTACGTCAGCGTCTCATTCCTCTAAGCAGCCCCCTAGACATTTCTATTATAGTGACATCGCCAGTAGAAAACTGGAAATGTACTTATATTGAACTGACATACCTTGATGATTAACTTATGCTGTTGAACCTAATTTTGATGTTATATTAAATCTGTAATATTGGAATTATAGTAATAACAGCTGCACAGCTGTTAATTGAATTTTATGGGTTATGAAATTTACTTTCAATATTGGCTTCTGCTATCTCGATAAAAAAATAGTAGGTATTGTTTTATGGTTTCAATTTCGTAAAAGCTTAAAATCTGCAATACGTTCACGAAATCAATCACTTCCACCAAAAATGGTAATAAACAATTTTTGATGATTTTATCTATATATCTACCATCTGTTTTGTATTCTCAGAAGGGTACCAACATCCAAGTATGGCTTCTCTCGAATATCTTGCTCTCAATAATCACTCACCAACTGCCTATACGTAGCAATTAAAATTAACATATCAGTATATACAGACATGGTATTATGTCAGTTGGCTATATTATTTATTTTATAGCTGAAACAATGACTTTAGCAAATAAAACACTAAAATGAATGGCTAATTTAGCACAAACAAATGCAATTCCCTAATATATACAAAAAAGGACTAAACTTTTCTCTAAGCAATTCATAGGACTGAACCGTAGTTTTAGTAATCCATTCCATATGCGTTTTTATTGCCTATATACATACGTATTCGTTTGTTTCTACTTTCATCTCTGTCTATCGGAGCAAAAAACTTGCAATAAACCCATCGTAAAAACTCATTTAAGTTGTTACAGCTATGTAATAATCGTATAGCCTGTAATGGACCTCCAACGTAGTTCCAATGACTGAAGGTATTACATCTACCTATATATATATATATATATATATATATATATATATATATATACAGTATGTTTTAGACGATTAAACAAATTATTATTATATTATATTAATTGTCAAATAAATGACTACTGACTGTGAGAATTAGAGAATTAAATTGACATTAGCATATTGTCCAACAGACACACATTACAAATACATAGTAAAGATGTTTTACGAGTAAGCCCATCAATCAAACGTACATACATATATCAAAGAATATATATCCATATAAATCATGGGTTATAAGTGTTACAATAAATTAATCATTATTTCACTAATTCATAGAATTATTCCTAACACTAAGAAATATTACGAGTTTCTCACAATTTGAAATAAGGAATATTAACATTCCAAGAACAATTGCGCAATAAAATCAAAAGGGTGAGTTGAAGTATAAATTCAAGAAATAAATAGTTAGGTAATAATTGTATTAAAATTAATCGATACACCACAAAACTTACTCTTGACTTAATTTAAGTCAATAGATTATTATAACTAATAATCCTTAACACAATATTTGCATGCTAGATCAGTGTGTATGTTCTCCTTTCTTGTTGTTATATGATCTCTTCTCATTAGGCATGTACGTAAGGCTGACTTGGAAAAAATACAACAGCTTCCCGGAGTAAATTGGTCGTTTCAGAACGACTTCCTGGAAAGCACTACCTTTAAAAAATTTATGCAATTACCAGTGTAGGTAGAGGCCGGGGAATCGTGTTTTTACTGAACGAAAATTAAAACACTTCTTATTCTGACATGTGTAACATCCTGTCGCTATGCATGCAAATTTAAAATGTTACTTTAATTCAAACCTTGGGTATCAATTAGTTCCCAAAATTATTATTGACTTTGACGTTGAAACATTAAAGTTAAAAATAAATTCAATGAAATTTATCTCTTAAATATATACCTTTTTTATACCTACTGTAATTCACGGCTTTAGCAGCAACATATAAATATTGACCGTATAAAAAGTGTATCCTTTACTCTAGGATAAAAATATAGTGACAATTAATACTCGTAGATACAATAAGTGTTAGTTTATTTTACATTTACTATAAATATTTGTTACTAACAGTAGATTGACAAATTTAGCTCATAACACATTCGTATACACAGCTTCAAAAAGAGGAATTCTTGGTACCTACCATCCTAAGTACTGTTTAATTTTTTTTAGCTACAGTGCGTGACGATTAGAATTGCCAATGGCTTTATCAAAAGTATCTATCTATACTAATATTATAAAGAGGTACAATTTGTAAGATTCGGGGTAATCACCAGCAAGCACTACTGGCTCAATTTTGAACACTTTTAGTGTTGAAGAGCCCATTTCGAGGAAGGCCATAACACGCTACAATTTATAGCAACGGGGCTGCAATGAAAATATTTCAAAAATGGGGAAGTGACTGAAATGAAATAATAAGGCAGATGAATTTAATCCTTATTTTCTACTACGCGTTACCAGCAACTTCAACTGCTTTTAAAAAAATAAAAGAGAGACTATATCCATTCTCCTGATGCAATTGGCTCAAAGTGAGCAATATGATGTTCAGCTTAAACAATTATAATATTGTCAGCTGCTTTAATAGAAAAATAGTAAATAGAGGAGGTTCTATGATATTGGTGAAAAATAATATAAAAGTAAAAGAACGTAGTGATATTGGCAATCTTTCTGTTGAATGTTGTATTGAAATTTCCTGTGTGGAACTAGACAATTATATAGTTATATGTGTTTATAGACCTCCAAATAGTGATTATAATTTATTTGAAGAGGTAATGGAGGATATTTTAAAAAGAGTATTTAATATTAACAAAAAAATTATAGTGTGTGGTGATTTCAATGTTGACATTTTATCACATAATACCACAAAAACTAAATTAATGAGTTTATTTCAATCCTTTGACTTGAGTAATGTCTTCCACGAACCCACTCGTATCACTGCCACGTCTGCTACTTGCTTGGATAACATATTTAGCAACAGTGAGTATTTAGATAAAATAATAATAAACAACCTTCCTTCTGATCACTGTGGTCAAATAGTTATTTTTCCAAATCACTTAAACAAAATTGGGAAAATTAATTTATTAAAAAGAGACTTGACTAGTTATAAGATAAATAAATTTAAAATATCAGTTCGTAGTAAATTAGATTTTTATCTTCCATCTAATGAACCTAACAAACTTTATACAGATTTCTTCAATATTGTTTCTAACGAATATAATAAGGCTTTTAACAAAAAAACTATCAGTATTATTAACAAAACAAAATTTTCAGAATGGGCTACAAAGGGAATTCTTAAAAGTAGAAATATATTATTTGATTTATATGCTCAAAAAAAATACCGTTTCGATAGTACATTCGTAAATTATGTAAAAAGATACTCAAAAACTTTTAAAAAGGTATGTAATGTAGCAAAGTCTAATTATCTAAATAAAAAAATTAAAGAGTCCAAGGATAAGATAAGGACAGTGTGGAATATTATTAACAAAGAAACTGGCAAAGTTAAAAGTCCATATAACGATTTTACGCTAAATTATAATGATAAACTAGTAACGTCCACAAAAGAAATTGTCAATATTTTTGAAAATTTTTACGCTAATATTCCAACTGATATTACTTCCTCTTTGGACTCTTCTCCTGGTACAGCTAAATCATTCCTTATTGATAATGTTGTTTCTTGTCCGGTTACATTTAAATTTACATTTATTGACATTGCTACAATTACTAAAACATTTAAACAATTAAATTTAAAAAATACTGAAGACCATTGGGGCATGTCTGTTAAAGTTATTAACACCGCTATAGATGTTATTGCTCCATATTTAGTAATTATTTTCAATAAATGTATTTCTGACGGTGTTTTTCCCAATTTAATGAAACATAGCAAAATAACTCCACTCTTTAAGTCAGGAGAAAAAACTGTGGTAGGTAATTATAGGCCTATATCTATCTTACCAGTATTGAGTAAAGTGTTTGAAAAAATTATGCTCAATCAAATGCTACAACACTTTAAAGTAAATAAACTGCTTCACAGTCGACAATTTGGTTTCACGGCCGGTAAATCAACTACTGATGCCGGTGTAGCTCTCATTAAATATATA